GAAAGAAGTAATAGAAGTAATATTATTTTTATTAGACGCGTATTAAAATCTTGGCTAGCTTTGAGAACTTTCTCAAAGCTGGATTGTTAAGAGGGGAAGATACTCTGTATGTAAAGTAATTTGTCTCTATTCGATAATGATTCATTCCACATAAAACATCTGACTAACTCTGTCGTCTTTAAAGAAAGCTGATATTTATTAGTTATCTCCGTTCTCAGCAAGCACGAAATTCATTCATGAATCAGGATACTCGTAGACAGAAACGTAATGTTGTGGATTGGGTGGCATGTCACGGGAAGGTTGGGATTATTGTGTGCACCTTGACTCTAGGAATTGACATAGCACTAATGAGTGTATTTAAAATTTCTCCGTAGGTTAACATGATGCCACCGCACCCATTAACACTACTTTTATTGCCACAACTATCATCATCGCCGATTCAACCTACTCTGGGTCTATTCAGTCATTCGATATCATCATCGCTTTCAGACAGTAAAGACGATAAGATGTCCATGTCAACCGTTACCCTGAAAGGTGATAGATCAGTTCATACGAATCGGGACGGAGCTATGGAAATCGAATATGATACCGCTACTATTGAAGGACGAATAGCGATAACACAGGTGAACTATCAATAATTAGCTCACCACAAACGCGTTGCTTGTTTGTAATCGCGTTTAACTAAAATCTGTACCCTTATTTACTCTCTGAATAGACCATCATAACAACATTGCATCAATTGCTACTTTCGACCTGGCTGGACACTGCTCCGGTTGTGTTTGGATCAATAACATCGACCATATATCAATCGCCTGGTTTACTTTTGTTAAACCATATACTAAGAATCTTGGATGTTTTGTGGAGAGCGTTTTTTATCGAATCACGCGAAAAGGTAGACAACTTATTGTAATAATGGATACGTTTTATTCATGGTAAAGCTCTAAACGTGCGATTATCACCGTAGAATGATGATGCTCGCAAGTTGTGGACTGATTCTCAAACGCAACAACTACTGAAACATATCACTCTGCATTTTCCATACGGGGCAGATTCTTTTGGAATGCGAGACGCAAAGGTTATTTTTTTTTCGAATGCTTTGTTCAAGTAATTATTTTAACGGTTACCTAACGTTTCCACCGAAATCCTGATAGACCGAATCAATATTACGAGAAATGAACATAATCTGTTGTAATCTTGTTGTAATATACCTGTTGAATTCATCGACGTTGTCATTGAAAAATGATCACGAGGATTCATCATCAATGATGCAAAAAACTAATCCCGATGCAGCAGGGGGACGACTTTCATGGGCTGGGAGAGTATTCGACTACGTTCTAATCACATTGGGTGGAACGGTAAGATTGCATTAGACTACAATAACATTATGTAATTGGGTATTCTTACTGACATTCGTCTGTTGCAAGGAAAGTATTCGCTTAGAACATGAAATTAGTTTCAAGATGAAACTAACATCAACAGATTTCAAACCTGAGCATCTTACATCACTTCTTCCGTCGATATGGGGACTGCTCAATTGCATAGATGACAACGATCAGATACTTTTATATCAAGTATGTATATGAACTATCATTACGCAAATCAATGGACGTTCTACTTGCGTCCAGTGCTCATGCAGAATGCTATTAACTTTATCAATCAGACTCTGATCGAATATGGCAAACAAAGTCATGCGCAATCCTCCGCAAAGAGAATAATCGCGAGTTTTGTTTCCCGTTCTTTAATGGTATGTTGTTGTTGTTGTTGTTGTTGTTGTTGTTGTTGTTGTTGTTGTTGTTGTTGTTGTTGTTGTTGTTGTTGTTGTTG